GTAATCCAGTCTTGAGGTGACCAAGACTGAGTGACTATCCGAAGGGCCTCCTCGTCCAGGTAGGATCGCAATTGGTGCACCAGGCGAACCTGGGCAAAGGCCCCCCTGGTCACAGCCGACAAATGAAGTTCTAAGGTCAGCTGTGGGTCCAGGAGGACTCCCAAATTGCGGGCCCTCTCTCAGGGGCGAATAATTTCGCCCCCCAGGCTGAGAGATGGAATGGCTGGACCATCCTTGGGAGGGAGCATCAATAGCCACTCAGTCTTGTCAGGATTGAGTGCAAGCTTGAAATCATTCAAGCTTAGTTTAGATTGTATTAATATTCATCCTTTGTTTTTTTCAGCCAATACTTTTAAATACTGAATATTAAGTATTAATATTAGTATATAGCAAAATTAGTATTAGAATTTTCATAAATTGCAATAGAGTTAACATTCAACATCTATTTTGCAGTCCACGTGGAGACCATAAAGCAAATGTAGGTTTAAATCTGAAATTCAATAAGAGGAATGAAGAAGTCCCTGGCTACACTAAAAAAGTTGGAAGTGAATGGATGTACTCTTCTGCAGTGGAACAGCTTTTAGCTGAATATTTAGAACGGTAAGCTTAAAATTGTGGACTTGAGTGAATACCTTGTGATTGATAATGTTGTTTATAGCATTATTGTACGGAGCTTTGTTGGATCCAGATAACTGTCTATTGAAGCATTCTCTTTATTTCATCAATTTAGTGATCTAAATATTATTTATCCCTAGCAAACTGGCCTATTAATCATACTGACTTTGATTTTTGGGTTTAGCTATTTGTGGTTTATTCTATATTTATATTTCTTTTTTCAGTTTGTATGACTGCTTAGTCACTTAGACTCCAGCCAGTTAATGGCTAGTTAAAACAAAAATAAGCAAATAGCCAAAGAAAAGAAAAAAGAAAAGTAAATTTTGACACAAAATTCCCAGACTTCACCAATTTTGATAATAGTACATTTCAGTATTTAATAATGTACCAGACAAATGGTGACCGCTTGGGTCATATTTTCAGAGACATTTCCTTATCAGATTCATTCAACACTGATAACGTTTTAATGTAACTGCCTTTACTGAAAAACCTGGGATATGTTCAGAGATGTCCTGCCTTGAAAATAGCCCCTACAGAACTGTATATCCTAGTCAAATATCAGCACAGGGAATGTTTTGTGATAATTTATATTATGCCATAAACGTTTATGTTTATTTTATATCATAGAAGATTTTATAAAATTGGTCAAATTTTCATTTTTTGGCCCTGAATTTTGAATGTGTTCTGCAAGTTAGCCCATTTGAGGTACTATACTTTGGTTCAAATGTTTTGCCCTACAATACAACATTTTGTTATAAGAAGAATCAAAGTTTTAGTAATTTATTAACTGGGTGAAGAAATACTTTTAATTAATTTTAAATTTTTTCATATGTGTGTATAGTGGATTATTCCTTGGTTACCGTACTACCATTATTTGAGTAAAATTGTATCCATATCTTTCATACCATGAAAGTTACATGATTATTTTTGCATTGTACTGGAAAAAGCACCTCAGCTGTTTTTTAAAAATTACAGATCTGTGTTACATTAGTGTTTCAGTGCAAATCATCTTTTTGAATATAACTCTGGAGCTCTGCATAATATATTTCATTATTATATGCAACTTATTTTTCCTGCAAACAGGAGTCTAGTAAATGTTGGTGGAAGTTTTATGATATGTGTGTAAATATGAAATATCTACTCAAATATATTTATATATTTCACAGGGTACCAGAACTTTTTACCTACTTAGCCAAAAATAGTTCAGAATATATATTTTATGAAGATGACATTTGGCCTGGTGAAGAGGAGAATGGGTATGTAGTTCATACTTTTGGTAGATTAGTAAATAAATAGATAATTTTTCTGACCTTGCAAAGACAATCACCATGAATATTGCTGGTTCAAATTTAGTAGACGAGTCCTTGGATTGAAGGAGGAACAATTTCATGCCATATTCTTTCATGGTTGCAGCTGTCTAATTGCTATCAAGCAGTCAAAATATTATTTGCTAGGTATTGTCTCTTAAAAACACAATTGTTATTTTGAAAATATATAATCTTGATCCAAGGATCCAGGGGTTGAGATATAAAAATAATCCCATTTCTTTTATAGAGGTTTTTTTTCTTGTTCCCTATTTATTTAGCATATGGCATAGAACACATGGATAACAGTAATAAAGTTATATACACCAAACTAATTGGATTATAATTTTCTAATTTGCTTTGACAGTTTTGATGTAACTGAAGCTTTGGGGCAATGCTTATATTTATTTTTCTTACATTAGGACATAGGTTTTTTAAAATTAAAAACAAATCTTAATAATACATAATAATTTTCCACTTGATAATATTTACATGTTGACTATGCTAGATTTTACATCTTGACAATTATTAATATGGAATAATTTTTAACATAGGGCTGAGAAGGTTCAAGAAATCATGTCATGGGTGAAGTCTCATCCTGTCAGTGCACTTTCACGTTCATCTTGTGATTTGCAAATTCTGGATGCAGCTATCATTGAAAAGATTGAAGAAGAAATAGACAAATGCAAGGTACATAAAATATTGTCTAAATTATCTGATTCTTATCACAATATATTTAAATTGCTATTAGCATGTTGTACATTAAGAATTCTTGAGTGTAATTTTGGATTATAAAGCAATAAAAATTTAAAAATCAATTTTAAAAGTAAAATAAAACATGCAGAGACCTTACCATCTTATCTGATCACTTACTTGTTTATATATAATCTGTATCACCCACCTTGATTTAAATAAAATTTATTGAGTTTACAATTCATGAAGTCACATACAGCTAGGGTTACACTGAAGGTTTTGTTCATAAGGTTCCTCTCTGTCCTGCTCTTGTTAGATTTATTTTTTCTTTATACTCAGATAAATATTTGCTGTTGGGGAACTCTAAACAACAGAATAGTTTAGAATACCCTAAATAGGGTATTCTAAAATAGTTTAGAATTCTAAAATAGTTTAGAATTTCTCTGAATAGCACATTGTTTTTTCTCAAACCACCCTCCAAGCAGCAGGCACCAATAATAAGCCCAAGAGCTGTTACATAACGTCTGGACTTATCTTACAGAATGGTTTTAAAATTAGGTTGAGTAATACACATTAAGCTAAGGAATATACTGTAGATAGATTTACAATCAGTGTTATAATTTATATGGACTATAATATGTGACTTTTTAATTTTGTACAGCAATAAAAATATATGAATGATTTCACTCAATTATTTTTACTTTTTTTAGCAAAGAAAAAGTAATAAGAAAGTGCGTGTGACAGTGAAACCTCACTTATTATACAGAGTAAGTTTAATATAATTATAGTTGCATAAGAGTTTTTGTTAAATGCAGTAGAAAACCAATTTCATGTTGCCAAGAAAGAAAAACACGAATGTATCATGTAGTCATCAAGAGTTAAACTTGACTCAAGGAAGGTTTTATGTTTCATACCAGCTTCCTCTTTTTTCCTCCATCTTACATATTATAAAACTGATGAACAAGATACGTAAAAATTGGAAGTGCTGGTTCGATTGTGTAGATGAAACAGTATATTTTCTGCTAGCTGGATTTGTAGTCCGATTGCTTTCTATTGAGAAAGCATCCCTTTATCATAAGCTCAATATGGTGAACAGGACATTACATGATTATTTAATCTTTTCATTTTAATAAAATTGCACATAAAATTAATACCCCAAGAGGCATATAGAACTACTTTTATTCTATATTATATTCATAATTAGATATTTTTGCTATAATTTAAATCTTTGATTTTATTAGCCTTTAGAACAACAAAATGGAATTTTACCAGATCAAGATGCAGAATATCGATTGTTTGACCGTGTTGTGAATGTGAGAGAGAACTTTTCTGTTCCCCTTGGACTTCGTGGTACTATAATAGGAATTAAAGGAGGTATGACTGAATTTCTTTTTAGCTTTTGATAATCCTGCCTATGATTTGTGAATGATTTCTATGTTTAAAAAAATGCTGATTACTATTAACTGGATATTTATCAAAGATCCAGTTTAACTGGAGAGCCGAGGTGGCGCAGTGGTTAGGGTGTAGTACTGCAGGCCACTTTAGCTGACTGTGATCTGCAGTTCAGCGGTTCAAATCTCACCGGCTCAAGGTCGACTCAGCTTTCCATCCTTCTGAGGTGGGTGAAATGAGGACCCGGACTGTGGGGGCAAGTTGCTGACTCAATTTGCTTTAAAAAAATTGTAAACCGCTTAGAGAGGGCTGAAAGCCCTATGAAGCGGTATATAAGTCAAATAAATAAATAAATAAATAACTGAGGTTTAAAAAGTGCATCTTTTTGTTGGATTTAATGAGCTGAATTCAAAATTCTATAAGTGGGGCTTCTCTACACTTTGTATTCTTGGAGACAGTCAAGTATTCACCTGAATTACACTGCTACAGTTGAGCATAAGAATTTTGTCCACACCAAATGGCCTCTGCTCTTTTATTGCAGTACCCTTCACCCAGTGGTGGGTTTCAAAAATTTTTGGAACCTCTTCTGTAGGTGTGGCCTGCTTTCTGGGTCCACTGGTGAAACCTCTTCTAACCGGTTCAGTAGATTTGACGAACCGGTTCTACCGAATAGGTGTGAAGTGGTAGGAACCCACCTCTGCCTTCACCATAGTTCAAGCTATTTAAAAGGGCTTCTAGACCTTTTAAAGTATACAAATTTGGGGACAGGAGAGAATTGGAAAGCTGTTTTACAAATGACATTTCATATATACTGGTATACTTTTGAATCCAAACAATTGACATAATGGTTTTGTTTTGATATTATGTGGCCAATGCTATTAATCTTCTTTTTTTAAAAAAAGAAATGTCCACACCACACATCACCCCTTGGTTATTGTGAAATGGAGTGGCTACCATAGTTGAATGAGTAATTATTTTTAGTCTACAAGGAAACAAATCTATAGTACATTTGTAGCACTTGTAACTAAAGAACATTTGGACACCTGTTTCCAAATACACAGTAGAGTCAAACATGTGGGAAAGCTCTAGCTGTATTAATTTGTTACTTGCATAAAATATTAGAAAAAACATTATCAGATGCCTTCTTTGATCATTTTTTTCTTGTTTTGGAAGGATGAGAATGTTAACTCACATAACATGTCTTGTATATATTCTCAGTTTAAAAACACTATGACTTTGGTGGTGTTTGTCTAGTAAGACTGAAACTACTTTAAAGCTCATTGACGCACATAAGTCAATAATACAAAAATTATAAAAATGAATCAGTTCTGCCTCTGGATATAACATCTTGTTAGTCATAATAGTTGGCAATTCTGGAATTTATAATACATACCATTAGGGAACCATGTAGGCAAAGTGGATTTGATTTAAATCAAGTTGATTTAAATCACTAGTAAAAAGACTTGATTTAAATCAACTCAATTTTAAAGAGCAACTGTCATCCTTATGGTACATAACTAAGATCCATTTCATGCTGAATAAACTAAATTATTAATGTATCTTAAATAGAAAATTATCTTTAGATAGATTTTTACTCCAAAAACATTTTATTAAAATAAATGTGATTAAAAAAAATTAAAATCCAATTTAAATTTAAAAAATATATTTTTTAAAATCATCGATTTTTATTCACCCTGCATGTAGGTGAAGATAGTCTAAGTAGTCAGCCAAGAATGGAAGCCAGTAAAGAGGACAATATTGAAAACTCTTTATTGATAATTCCGATCTTTATAAATAGTTCTGGAGATAAATATAATGGGTTTTTTTAATATAGAAATTGTTGTCATTGTAGTAATAAGTGATAATATTATGTTTTTCTTTAGTAATTTCACATTTGATGCTATTGCTTACAATGTATATTTTCTTTAGCCAGCAGAGAAGCTGATGTACTATATGAAGTACTGTTTGATGAAGAATTTCATGGAGGTTTAACAATAAGGTTTGTTGCAAACAATTGCTTGTTTTTCTTAAATGTTTCAATAGAACCTCATAAACATAAAATAATTGTGTAAGAAGGGGACACAATTTTTTTTTTTCTGGTAATTGTGTTCTTATCTACTTTTATTGTCAAAATTTCTAAACTTTCATTTTATTAATGACAAATAGAGATCAAAAACACCTCCATCCAACCATTCATTCAGCCTCATAAAACTGGATCTAAAGTATGTTAGCCGTTCATTTTATGTTCCATCCAAAATATTAAATTATATTCTATAAATATTTTTAATATATAATTTGAAATTATATGAGTAATGACCGTGACAAAGTTGCTTTCATTGCCTCTCTTTCGTTAGGAGTTCACCTTCCAGAGGATACCGCATGCCAGCTTGTGCCTTAATTAACATATCTTATGGCTATCGAACTGAAACAGGAAATCAGAAGTTAACAGCCATAGTTAAGCCACAGCCAGCTGTGAGTTCCTACAACTCATATTCATCTGAATCCTTTTCTGTATGTTCCCAAAAAGCACATCTAGGAGGCCTCAATCATTCTCCTCGTTCCCTCTTTGTTCCAACTCAAGTAAGTGTGAATTCAATTACCCAGTTCTATCATAAACATAAAGATATTGCTGTTCTCTTATGCTAGTAACAGCATAGCCAAATTTAAACAAAGCTTAATAATTGTCATAATAATTAGAGCTTGTTTGGTGTAGTGGTTAAGGTATCAGGCTAGTCATTGAGAGGTCATAAATTCTAGTTTCACCTTAGGCATGGTCAGTTTGTGCCAGTTACTCTGTCTCAGACTTTGGAAGCAGGCAAGAGCAAAGTGTTTCTGAAATTTTTCCAAGAAAGCTGCAAGGACTTTGCCAGGCAGTTGCCAGGAGTCAGTAACAAAACAAACAACCCTGAGCCAAAGGAGCACGTGTGCACGCACACACACACACACAGAAAAGAATAATCAATTAGTGCAGATTTATCAGACTTACCATATTTTTCGGAGAATAAGACACACCAAGATTTTGAAGAGGCAATTTTTTTTTAAAGTAGGTAGGTAGATAGAGGGATAGAGAGGGAGAGAAAGAGAGAGAAATACAGTAGGTAGGGAGAGAGAGAGAGTAATTAGGTAGGTAAATAAAGGGATAGAGAGAGCGAGAAAGTGAGAGAGAGTAGGTAGGTAGGTTGGTAGGTAGAGGGATAGAAAGAGAGAAATACAGTAGATAGGTAGGGAGAGATTAGTTAGGTAGGTAGAGGGATAGAGAGAGAGAAATAGAGAAAGAAATAGAGTAGGTAGGTAAGGAGAGAGAGAGAGAGTGTGTAGGTAGGTAGGTAAGGAGAGGGATAGAGAGAGAAATAGAGAAATACAGTACAAAGGTATGGAGAGAGAATAGGTAGGTAGGTAGGTAGAGAAAGGGGTAGAGAAAGAAATAGAGAGATAAGAGAAATACAGTAGGTAGGGAGTGTGTGTGTGTGTGTGTGTGTGTGTGTGTAGGTAGATAGGGAGAGGGATAGAGGGAGAGAAATAGAGATAGAGAGAAATACAGTAAATAGGTGTTTCTGCTGGCACAGCACTTGATCAATGTAATTCTCATCAATCAGTTAAAGAGCTTTCCAAAAGGAAAAAAAAAGTTTATGTAAATCTCCCAAAAACGGCCCGTTTTTCACGAAAACGGACCTGTTTATTTTTTTTAAAAAAAAGGCATGAATAGCCTTTGGGGGGGGGCTTGCAGAGTGCTCCCGGGGGGAGTGGGAGGGCCAAAAATGAGCAAAAACCCATTTTTCGTGAAAATGGGCCCATTTT